CCATATAAATTAATCTAAAATCCAAGATTTATAACTTTAGATATAATCCAATGACTGAACAGTGTTCGAATTTGAAGTGAATTGACATCTCCTTCGTAAGCTTAGCCTTTTTTTTGTCCTTTTACTTTCTATAGTTAATCACAGCAATCAATCATTTGAATTGTGAGAATACTTGTATTTAAAATAAGTATTTACCATAAATTAAAGGTATCTTATATTATCATACTTGTTATTATAAAACATGCTCTAGTTAAGAAGTTATTGATACTTCAAGTACAAAATGATGATACAAAACCTTGATAAAAATATACTTTTAAGAACTAATCACTATATATAAGCCCCCTCTACTAACCTGAAAAAGGGGGGAGAAAAAGAAAAAAGAGCAAGAAAGGGAGAGAACAGAAAGATGAAAAAAAAAAAGAGAGAAAGAGAAAGATAGGAGAAGAAGAAATGTTTGACATGCAACACAAGCTTTGCTGCTAAATATTGACAGAAACTTTCATCTGTCAAAACTAGTGAGACCTGCAGAAACAAGGGAGATTTGCAGCATATAAAGAGGATTTGGTTGTTAAACATTGAAAGAAACATTCATTTGAGGTTTTGTATTTCATCTTCTACAACCAAAACTAGTGAGACCTGCAGGTATAAGTGTCCACTTTTTACTCCCTTACCACATATAAATCTCTAATTATTTCGATGTTTTAAAAAATACTTGTTTTTTCTCACCTTCGTCGATGTTTTAAAAAATACTTGTTTTTTCTTCTGGCTTTGCACCTTCATTTTCTATTTTCTTTTTACCATATAATGAATACTTGTCTTCTATTTCTTTTCATGACTTTGAGTTTAAACGGTTATTTGTGTTAGAGTTATGGGTTCCTTGTTTTTTTCTCTAGTGCATAAGGAACCGTGGGGGCTGTCATTAGCCCACTCATTAGTTTAGATGTTTTTCCTCCTTCTTTATAATCTGGGATGGGTATTGCTACTGATTCAGAAATCGACAACCAAACTGTATTGCTACCAATTTACAAATCAATTGCAAAAAACTTTGCTGTTGTCAATTCAAAAATCAGCAACAAAACTGCATCATTGTCAATTTAGAAATTAGCAGCCAAACTGTGCCGTTACCGATTTAGAAATTGACGACCAAAAATTATGTCGCTACTGATTTATGAATTGGCAATGATGGTAGGTCATTTTGGATTTACTTTTCTTTTTTGATGGGTGTTTACATAGGAGGTTTTCTTGAATTTATGTTGTTATGTTTTTGCAGTTTACCTTTTATTAGGTTAGTCTTGGGTTTATGACTAGCATCATTAATTTCAAAGGTTAGAGTAGGTAATGTGAGTTCACTTTTTTTAAAAAAATTATTCATTTTAAATTTATCTTTTAAACTTTTTGCTCTGTTTTATTTTTTATAAGATTATCTCAATTCTTTCGCAGGGTTTTGAGTTCACACAATTTAATAGGGATTATATATAGAAATAATTTCATCCTATTTAATAATCATAATAAGTTCAGTTCTTGTTTTTTGTAGTTTTTTTTACCAATTTATTTATTATTATAATATTTTTTTATATTATTTAAATTATCAAGTGATAATATCCTGAGAATTGATTTTTTTTTTCCTGGAAAATGTTTTTTATCAAGCCCGCAGCAAATCTAGTGCATAAACTAATGTGAAAATTCCCATGCAGGTCAACTGTAAAAAAAAGAAAAAAGAATAAACCATAAGTTAGCGAAAGACAGGAAGTTAGCTATTGGGGATAACGTAAGGACAGGGTTTCCTTGTCTGTTGCCTCCTCATATCCGTGGCCGAACCACTAAAAACACAATCGTACATCCGCCTCTCTGTCTTGGTGTCAAGAAATTGAACATTATTCCCTCCATTCAGGTACTTATCATCTTGCTTGTGAATAATTTTCTACTACTTTACGATTACCATACAATTTCAAGTCTTGATCTGTTTCTTTTTTTCTTATCCCTTTCTGCTTAGCTTAGCTTAGCTTAACTTGGCTATCTCTCTAATATTTCTGTTCTTTTCATTAATTTTTTAACTTACATAATAATGAATTGATATAAAACAGTCTAGGATTTATGTAATTGTGTGCAAGATTGGAGCTTTATGTTAGAAATAAAGATGGGCAATTTTTATTATTAGTGGGTTTGATTTTTTTTATTTTCTTTGGTTGTTAAATGGTGTCTCTTGTTGTTTCTGTGAATGCAAAATGTATGTATATATGTAGAATTTGTTTGATGGGTATTTGCTACCTTGGAGATTGGAAATACATGGATGTGTATTTCTCTATTTTCTCTGTAAAATACCCAACTTGGAATTAAATTTCTTTCTGAAAAGAAGTTTCTCATGTAACTCATGACTAAAATCTCTGCCTTGAAAGGAAGTTTTCGTGATTTTCTGATATGATTCTGTGCTCTAGCTGATCCATTATCAAAAGTTTTCATTTCTAACATATCCCTCCTGTGAGACTAAAAGAATTGTTTTTCCATGGGAATGACTCAATGAGTGGTCTCGTGCAGTTTGTGTTTTTTTTTCCTCCATCTTTTCCTAGTTAATTGAATAAAATAGGTTCAAATTCTTCCAAAAAAAAATCTTATAGGAGTGAAGGGAGGCCATTTTTGTTTTAGTATGATCAGTGTAGCTTATTTCAGTGCTAGTTCTCCTGTCAGAACTTCCACAGACACATTACCAGTGGATGGGCTCTTTATGCGCAAATCTTTTCACAATTAATGCAATGCTGCATCAGTTTGTGGTCCTGGCAAAGCATAACTAGTTTGCTACATAGAAAAATCTTACTGGTTTAATTATTAATAGGGGAGAATAATTTGGTTGTGTTGTGCTTAATGCCATATATCTTAACACTGCTGTCGGAAGCCTGAATAAAGGAAGTGGACTGTGGTAGCTTCCAAAAGCAGATTGTTTTGTGCTTAATGCTATATATCTTAGTGCTGCAGCATACAGCTACAGTCACACTAACATTCCCAGAGAAATTTTGTGGCTGATGTTAGAAATGAACAGAGCATCCATCAAATATATGTTAGGTATCTCAACATAATTTATTTAACCATAGTCGCACTAGTTTGGATTGATGCTTAGTCATCTCAACATAATTTATTTAACCATAGTCGAGTTTGGATTGATGCTCAGTTGAACAATTGATAATGGGATGGATGCCACGCAGATGTAATGCAAAACTGAAAAATATGGCTGCTATTAATGCTTTGTTGAGTAAAGTTGAGTTAAGGAAATTACATGTTCTATTAGGGGAGAAATTTTAATGATATTTATAATATAATGAATTTAATAATCATAACATAAAAACCACAGTAACGTTAATAGTAATATAGCAGTCATAATATTTTTTACTCTTGCCTTTCTCTTCTTTTCATAAAATTTCCTTGCTTATTTCAATTGGTCTCTTTTTTCATTTGTCTAACTAAGTACTCCTTTTCTTCTTGTTTGACAGTGCAGGGATGCTAGGAAGATCACTGGCTTCCCCTCTCTTGACCTTTGATTCTGCAGCACGCTCAAGCTGTGTTACTGTAAGAACCATTTTGTGTCTCATTCCAAAATTGATTCCTTGATGCGTGGATGCACATTCCCTTTATGCTATTTTCAACTGCCTTGTGAGCCAAATCAGCTTGTAAATTGCATATGTGACGAAAAACATGATTAGGAATATTGTGTTTTGACTTGTTAAGAACAAGAGTGTGAGAGCAAACTAATTGCTGGACAGTACATGTAACATCTTGATATTTGAATGACATTCCTGCTCTGGGATATACATTGGTTGAGTATATCTCATTCCAGTAGCTAGTTGGCCCCAGCAGCTTAAAGTTTAGTATTTCAAAATTAAAGTTTGAAAGAGGAACGGATTGAGATACTTTAGTATGTATATCTAAGAACCAAGAACCATCCATAAATCTGTTTCAGCCAAAGCTGCCCAATAGTTCATGGTGCCATGATAACTGGTGGTCTCCTACAACTACTAGACACTGAAGTTTAGATTAGCTGTCCAGTGGAATCATAACAAGGCCATGAAAATAAACATGACAGGGACCAAAATTGTTTATATTCTTGGTATAAAGACACGCAGGCATGTCTTTTAGAACGCCCATACTTAATCATATAGCAACAAACATTTAGAACGTCCATACCTAGTCATACAGGTTACCTAGATTAAGCCCTAGAAATTGTATGTGCATTTTTTGTGCGGCCAATTTTTTCGGAGAAATTTATTCCTTCCAGATATTTGCAATGTACAGACATTTCAAATCAATTGTGTTTGTTATATGGTTCTAATTTGTTTCTGAAAATTCTATTTTCATCTGTCCTCTTACATGGGTTGTTATTGTGTTCTTCACGTGCAATTGATTGGAGGCTTGATTTTGAAATGGAAAGGTTATTTCCTGAAGGCAGTGTAATTGTCTTTTTTAATGCTTGGTCTATTTTTCGGCCAATACATTGGAAAATTCTAACTGCTGATTGCAGCCTGATCTTGTAACAGCTGCTCCTAATGCTGCATGTCTGAACGTCAACTCCTTAGCTCTTCCATCAAATGTAACCCGAGGATACTGTACCTCCCATTTTTCTCCTAAGAAGTGGGCAATTCAATCCACTGCACAGGCTGACAACGCAACTTTTAGTAATGAAGACAGGAAGACATGGGAAGCATGCAGAGAAGCTCTGTCTGCATTTAATTTCAATGCTGAGGAGAAAGACAAGATACTTGGAAAAGCATTTGGTCACGTCCATTCTCCTTACTGGGGTGAACAACGAAAACTAGAAGTCCCCAAATTTGAAATTGTTTGTGAAACGTTGGATTATCTGAGGAACCTTGGTCTTTCAGAAGATGACCTCTTTAAGTTGCTCAAAAAGTTCCCTGAAGTCCTTGGTTGTAGCCTTGAACAAGAATTGAAAACTAATGTGAAGATCCTGGAGAAAGATTGGGGAATAAAAGGAAAATCCCTGCGAAAGCTTCTTCTTCGAAACCCAAAAGCATTGGGATATAATGTTGACTGCAAGGGAGATTGTATCGCACAATGCACAAGGTGCTGGGCGCGGTTTTAGAGTCGAAATTTCTATAATTTTTTGCGTACCAATACAATGTTATCAGCAAAGTCCTGTTAAAAAATTGTACGTATGTCACGTTGAATACACATTCTTGATGTATTACAGATTAATGTATATTAAGTCACCTTGGGAATACAGTCTTTCAATGTCTTATAGCATGCGAATTTGTTGCAGTCATTTGGATGAAAAAACAAACCCTTCATGATACTACTATACATGTTTTTAATCTTGGATACAGATGTTACAATCGAATCGTCGATTCCTATCATGCCTGTGTTTCCATTCAATGGCAGGAAATTCCGGCATCTGGACTTCAAGCCTGGAACAACAAAATAACCTCAGCAATTGGAGTGTGTTCTACAGTGTACTTTGTTTCTTTAATAAGATGAATACACATTTCAAATCCAGCTCCATGATTGTAACTGTGTAGCTGATAAAATTTCCATAGCTCGAAGGATCCTATTTCCCTTGAGATTCTCAGCAAATACGAGGACAAATTATTTCACGTCCTAATCCCATTAAATCACCTTCTTCTGTGCCCATCAATATCCTAAAACTGTCCAGCTAATGCAAAGTCGTATCTCCCTTAATTGTTAAAAAGCAACACGGACAATCCAGCTATATGCAGCAATTTGCAGCCTAAAAGAACCCTAAAAAGACTGTAGCCCTTGCTAAAACTATAAAGTTTACCATGCTCCTATGGCAAAAGTGGTTTCAATTACTAAATAGACACAGCTCGATACATAACATTTCTCAGGATGGACATAAAAGAGTATTTCTTCCTATTAGGGTTATATTTCTACATCAGCTGACATTATCGATGAAAATTAGTTCACAAGCAAAAAGAGTGGTTGAGGTTGCATGCAGTGATCCAACTTTTTAGTTTCATTTATCACACATTACATATACTTGTTGCCGGCAAAAGAATACAAACAAGCAGTGGCACTTATTTCCCTCAAGACAGCTGCAATGTGCATGCTTATACGTATGTACATGTATTTGTGGTAATGAGACTACGGTATACGTATTATAAGGTTGTGCATATGTAGATTGTTTGTAAATTATAAAATTAAGCATTAAGCATGTATTTATTTTCTCATTCCTACAATTGCAACTGTATATTTCTTTTTTGAGTGATCCATCTTATCTCCTGATGATGCAAGATTTGATTTTAACGAGTGAGTTACTATTTAATTAGATTGGTTTATTATTATTATTATTATTATTATTATTATTATTATGAATGGAAGGTTTGAACTTGAGACCTTTGAAAGAGAATGCTAATGCTTGTTTGTTTTGATGTGTTTGATATTGTGGTGTATAATACTTTTAAAAAATAATTTTTAATTAAAAAAATATTAAATGATGTTTCTTTTTATATATATATATATATATATATATATATAAGACATCAAAATCATTCAAAAATACATAAAAAATCAATTTAATATATTTTCAAGTAAAAAATAATTTAAAAAAATCTAGGATGAAAAAACCAACACTCACTAGTTATATAAGTCAATGTTAGAAAATAATATAAATCATATATTGAGATTTCACCTAACAACTTAAGTATTAGTTTTAAAAATAGAAAAGAGTATAACAGATGTAGAAGTTTATAGATATACACAAAAAAGAAAGATAGAAGAGTAGGTAAAGGAATGCATACTGAGAATTCTATTTTATCATGCAAGCTCTTACATTAGATAGAAACTAAAAAATAACTTAGAGACCAAGAATTAAGCCATCAACAATAACATGTTTCAACAAACTAACCACTTCCTAAAGATTAGGACAAACTAAAAACAGAATAGAAGCATAAAATAATTTCTAATACTTAGAAACATTGCAGTCCTAAAAGCAATCAACTAACACTCCTCCATGTTTTCAAATCTGCAAACTTCGAGTCTTTGCCTAAGAAGTTCAAACTTGTTTACTGGCAAAGGTTTTAAAAATGTTTGCAAGCTGATCTTCAGATCTGCAATAAATGAGGCTCACTTCTCCTTCCTTTTGTACTTTTCTTTAAAAAAAAACTTTGATCTTGAAATATTTAGTTTTTCCATGAAAAACGGGATTATGAGAGATTACAATTGTTGTCTAATTGTCCACAAACACCTCTGTATCATTTAGTTACTTCAAATGTAAATCACAAAACAACTTCCTCAGCCATGATGCTTGATTCACTACTACTATAGCAGCAAGAAATTTGGCCTGTGTAGTAGACTATGCTATAATCTTTTGCTTCTTGGAACTCCATGAGAAAACTCCTAATTATAGGCTAAAACAATACCCAGATGTACTTTTCATGTCATTCATGGATCCACCCCAATCACTATGAAAAAATCCCAACAACTTGAAGTTTTGAGATTTCTTGAATTTTACACGAAAGTCAATAGTTTATTTAATGTATTTAATGACTCTTTTTGCAACTTTAAGATACATTACGCTAGCACAATGCCTGTAATAAGAGAGAATGCTTACGACAAAAAGAATATATGGCCTTGTTGTCGTTAGGTGCATTAGGCAACCAATCATGCTTCGTAAATAGTCTTCTTCAACCTTATTTATGTCATCCTCTTTACTTAAGCTCTCATTTAGAGTCATTAGAGTAGTCATTGCCTTACATTCCTCCATATGAAACTTCTTGAGAATTTCCTTGGTATATTTCTTTTGATAGATAAAAACTTTATTTTCTAATTGTTTAATCTTCATTCTTAGAAATATGCAATGAGTCCAAGGTTTGTCATTTCAAAAAATTTCATTATTTTTGTTTTGAACTCTTCAAGAAGCTTAGCATTGCCATATATGATTAAGAGATCATCAACATAAAGAGAGACTATAAGTAGATCATCTCCTTTACATTTTATATAAACAGTACCCTTTGACATAACTTTTCTAAAATCCTAGGCTTAATATATGCTTATTTATCTTGCTATATCATGCTCTAAGTGCTTGTTTCAAGCCATATAAAGCCTTCTTGAGCAAGTAAACCTTCTCCTCTTTACCCTGTTCCAAGAATCCCTCAAGCTGTTCAACATAGATTTCCTCCTGCAAAATGTCATTCGAAGAAGTAGATTTTACATCTAGTTTAAACACCTTCCACCCATTTTGAGTTGCTACAGCCATCATAAGCCAAATAATATCTAATCTAGCAACAAGAGCAAATGTATTCGAGTAATCAACTCCAAATACTTGAGCATATCCCTTGACAAAAAGCTTGGCTTTGTGTTTGTTGGTGGATCCGTCTGCATTGAGCTTGGTTCTAAACATCCATTTTACTCCAATAATTTTTCTATCCTTTAGCCTGTCAACTAGCTCTCAAGTCTTGTTCTTTATATATATATCATTAATAGCTCTTTCTCCATTGTCTTCTATTATTTTTGGTCTTTAATAGCTTCTTCATAACTAGCAGGTTCATAAATGGCCACATTTCATGAGTTGGTATATCATCTTTCACTTCTTCTTACCACCATTTTGATGCTTGCTCTTCTATTTTTTAGGAGGAAAGACTTGATTTTTACTTGCTTATGGATGTCTATTTTTTTTTATCCCAATTTTATTTTTCTTTTTTATTAAAGAACACATCTTTATTGACAATTATCTTCCCTATTTGAGGTTGATAAACTTTTTACACTTTTAAAGAAGAGCTACACCCAACAAAGATGTTTGGTTTTGACTTTTTTAGCTTGGCCTATGGAATTGAGAGAAACACAAGTAATTAAACACTCTAAAGAATTTAAGTGAAGGTTTATACTCATACCATGCCTTAAATAAAGTTTTATCTTTCAATGCCTTGGTGGGTAATCTGTTCTACAAGAAAATAGCAATACTAACTCCTTTAGTCCAAAATTTTATGGGCAATTCCTTTTCATGTAACATACATCTGACCATCTTCATTATGTATCTATTTCTTTTTTCATTTACTCTGTTTTGCTGAGGAGTGTAAAGAGCAATAACTTGGTGTTCTATGCTAGCTTCTTCACAAAACATATTAAATTTTGCTGAAGTGTATTCCTTTCCATTATCTGACATTACAACTTGAATTTTACAACCACTTTGATTTTCCATCATTGTCTTGAACTTTTAGAAAACTCTTACTATTTCTGACTTGATTTTTAAGAAAATAATCCAGCACATTCTTAAAAAATCATCAATAAAAGCAACGTAATATCGACTATCTACTAATGATTCAATTCTTTGAGGACCCGATACATCTGTGTGGATAGCTATAACTTGTGAGTGGCTCTCCAAGATGACTTTGGAAATGGTCTTTTATTTTGTTTAGCGTATTAACAAGTATGAAAATTTGATAAATGATCTTTAAAGGTTAGTAACCCAATTGTGAGTTCCCTTTCCTACATAAGTTGCATCCTTTGTAAGTGACAATAACCGAGTCGCTTGTGCTATATCTCATTGTTGCAAGCTTTCATGGAGAATGCAGTAAGTTCTTCTTTGATAGGATCAAAAGAAAAACTTTTTCCTTTCATTCTCACTTTGAGAATTTCCTCACTATTGACATCCAGTATGTGATAGAAATAATTTTCAAAGATCATTTTAAAAGCCTTTTTCAATCAATTGGCCTACACTAAACAAATATTGATTAATTTCTGGTATGTAGAGAACATCAAAAATTGTTTTTGTGCCTGCAGTGCTGGTTATGGTGATTATTCATCTTTCTTTGATAGAGTTGTAATCACTATTACCAATTTTAACTTTAGTAATGTCAATTGGCCTCAAATCTCTAAAGAGTTTCTTATCATTGGTCATGTGGTTCATATAGTTATTGTCAATTAACCAACTTCAATTGAACTACTACTTGCAAAGTAGGATGATATAAAAAGTTGATCTTTATCTCTTATTCTGCAACTTGAGCGTCAACTTCCTGTTGCTGAGCTTTTCCCTTGCAAATGGTTGCTTTATATCATATTTAATTGTATTTTGAACATTTTGCATGAGGTCTCCTCCAACATTTGAATGGAGGGTGACCTTTCTTTTTACAGTGATGGCAATGAGGGTATTTACCCTTGAAGCTTCCTTTTTTGCTTTTATTGTCAAAACAGTAGCAAAAGAATTTCCCTTGTGGCCTTTCTTCTCTTTCATTTTGTTTTTGTAAGCTCCATGATGTTTTGCAAATAAGGCTCCTTTAGTGTTAACCTCTTGCGTCGCATGTCGTCTCTGTTTTTGTGCCTATAGGGAATTAAGTAATG